ATTCTTATTTTATGTTTTTATGTTTATATTATTTAGATTTTCTTATTGGTATTCTTTTATCTTTAGATATATTTGTTTATTCATCTTTTCATCTTTTATATTATTATCACTTATATCTATTTTCAATTTATATTTATTCTCTTTTGATTTATATTAATATTGATTTTATCTTTTATTTTTTTATTTTATTATTATATCATTTATTATCATTTCTATATTTATTTATCATTTATTCTTATTATTCTTTTGTTTTATATTCTATATCATATATTCATATCATTTTCATTTATATTTTATCATTTATTATATGTTATAATAACATAACACATATGATTGATTATATAATAAACATCATGTTTAAATTATACATATAAATAATAAACATAAAAAAGAGTAAAATATTTTTCAATAATAAAATATTGTTAATCATTTTACACAATTAAATTAGACACTTTTATTTCTTATTTCTAATTTTTACATTAAAAATACACTTTTTATTTCTTCTTTTCATATTTTATTACATCTTTGTGATTTATTATTTTTATATTCTTCTTCTACTTTATTTTTATTCTTTTATATATTTATATTCTTTTTATATTATTTGTTTTTCGTTGTTTTTCTATTTCTTTCTTCTATTATTTATCACTTTTATATTCATTTATTCTTTTTATTTCTTTTTTATTAATTCTTGAGTATTGTATATTTCTTTAATATTTCATTTGTGTATTATCAAAATATATGTTTTATTGATTTTATGTTGAATAAATTATCGAATATAATCAATATTTTCAATGTTAATTATTCATTCTTTATTCTGAAATGTTGTGTATATTTATTATATTAAATTAATATGATGAATGAATATCAATATTATTGTTTATTTGATTTTAAAAAATAATAAATGAATATGAAATAATATAATGAAATAATGAAGACAATGAAATGATAATGAAATAAAATAATATAATATTGAACAAATCAAATAAAGAATATATTGAATATATCATTATTGTTACATTATTATTTATTATTTCAATTATTAAATATTAATAAATTATTATTCATGAATATTTAATTGATATTTTACAATTTCATTTTCATTTTATTTAATAAATGAAATATAAATAATAAATGAATGAATAATAATTTAATATATGAAATAATAAAAAGAAAAGAAAGATAAATAATAAAGAAATATGATGTATTTAATATATAATATAATTTATTATCAAATATAATAATATCAAATGATGAATTATTTTTATTTCAAAATATTTTGCATCAATAAAATATGTTGCTAAATATTTTGCATCATTAAATTTTGCATCATTAAATTTTGCGCTTTTTTTATTTGTTTCAATAAAATTTGCATCCTTTATTTTTTTCATTCTTTTCTTCTTTTAATATCTCTTTTGTTTTATTACACTTTATCTTCTTTCTTTTTATCTTCTCTCCTTTCTACTTTTATTCTTTCTTCATCTTCATCTACTTTTTACTTTCTTTTTATTCTTTTATATCATTCATTCTCTTCTTTTTCAATTATTTGCTTTTTTTCGTTGCCAAAAATAAGTTAAATGAATAAATAACATTAAAAAAAACTATGAAAATAAACACACAAAAAGGTTAAATACAATTCTTTAAAATTTAAAAAAAGTTACTTTCACATTATAAAATCTTAATGAGTTTATTATTTAAAAGGTATAACAATATGACTTAATAATATCCTATTTCAAAGATGATTTAAATATTACCTTTGAAACTATATTTGTATGTATTCAAGACATACTGACATAACTATTATAAATGTATATTTTAATTACAAATCAAGAAGATTATTTAATGAAAGTTATTAACTTAAAGCAAACAGATTTTATATCAAAAAATAAAACTTTTAATGAAATGTAAATATTTTAACAAGACACAGTCAATAAGAAACTTTTAAAACAATTCATGTACTAATCACTGTTCATTAAACAAACCCCTAATAAAATAAAAGAAGTTGTCTGATGACTTAGACAAACAAAAAATAAATGAACTTATTTTCTTTCCTTCTAATAAAAGTTATTCTTTCTTAATACTTATGTATTGAAAAAATATTCTTTTAACAAAAATTTATTTATCCTTAAAAATATAAATGAAAAAACAATAATCAATCGCATCGGTTATTAACTCAATTAGTTTAACGCACATATTACTTAGTGTTGTTCGTGATGTCCAAGATGAGCATGGGCAGCTTTAATAGCTTCAAGAGCACGTTGGATTTCATCTCTCTTGGCAAGTCCTCTTTTGTGTGTTCCAAGATGTTTTTTAGCATATTTAAGTGCTTTCTTATCAAGTCCTCTTCTAAGAAGATCCATCATGTGTCTTTCATATGCTGAAAATCCACATGCTTCTCTAATAACGTCATTAACAACATGCTTTCTTTTTGTGACACCATAATGTCTTTTAGCGGTTTTCATAGTATGAACTGGGTATCCTCTTTTAAGTCCAACGGCAATTCCTCTAGCCATTTTAACCGATTGTCGTGTTAAGATCAATTTTTAAGTTTCTAATAGGGTTCTTCTTTTTTACTATTTCTTTTAACTTTTTTACTATTTTTTATCCTTGTTTATTTTTGTTTTTTCATTCATTCAATTTTTTGATATTCTTTGTTTTTTTGGATATATAACGAAAATAAAAACAAAAACAAAATGAACTTGAAAATTTAAAAACAACAATAATGAAAGATAATGACAGGTGTGCTAAGTTCATGGCAAATGATCTTGGGAAAGTACTTAGTTATGATGAAATGATTTGTAATAGAATTCAAGAGAATGACAAGAAATTAAAAGACCTTGTTTATTCTAATTATTCTAAATTTATTCAAGTCACTGAAACAATCACGAAAATTAGACATAGTGCTGAGTCTTTTGATAATGACTTAACTTCTATATCAAAGTCTTTATCTGAACTAACTTCTCGTTATAAAAATATTCATGCAAACTTGTCTCCACTTAGAGAAGAACTTATTAGTTTACATGAAAAACAACAACAAATTGAACAACAACAAGAATTTTTAGACCTTCCTGATATTTTACGTCAAACTGCATCAGAATCTAAATGGATTGAATTTGCTAATGCTTATACATCTAAAATCGATGGACTAAAAAAGAATGCTCATATCAAAGCATTTGCATCAATTTTAGCAGAAGTTGAAGGTGCTGTAGCAAGAGCAGAAAAAGCATTAAACAATGCTATTTCTAAAGAATATGACACTCCTCAAAAACTTGGACAATGTTATGGAGCATTAGCTCGACTTCATACCAATGAAGCAGCAGTTATGGAAATTAATTGTATTGCTAAAATGCAAAAATATTGTGAAGTAGTTGTTGATAATTCTTTTACAAAAAAAGAAAGTAATGTTGCTAGCTTTTCATCTTTTATTTCAACTGCAGCAACTGCTTTTGTTAATGCAGTTCAATCATGTTGTGAAGCATATAATACGGCATTTAAAGAACCATTTAGTCTTGATAGTAAATCGTTTGATAATTTTGTTGGAATTTCTATCAGTAATTTTTATTCAAAAGCTAATGATATTGTTTCACAAGCATCATCATTAGACAAACCAGAATTAAAAGTGGTTGAGGCATTAAGAGGAATAAGTGATGCTACTGGTAAGATTAAAAATTTAAATCAATATGGAGATTATAATAAGTATATTGAAAATACTATTGAAAATGCTGCTCGATTTGGAATTAAAGAACTTTGTAAAAAGGTTGGATTAAAAGCAGGAAGTGTATTTGATACAATTAGTGTTGATATTGATCTTTGTGTTTCAAGAGGATTTGTTGGATTTAATGGATTGGCAGAGAAAAAACAAAATCAAATTGATGATATTCAAAAAGAATTAAAAGATAGAATTGATGCAATTAAACAAATTGGTGGTGTTTATGAAACAACGATTATAAATTCATTGAAAGAATATGGAAGTGATATTCTTACTATATTCCTTCAAAAAGCAGAGTCTGTTTGTGAAAATAAACCATTTGTATGTGTTGCTATTGCAGGATGGATACTTTCTGCAAAAATACCAGAAACTATTGCAATTGCATTAAGAATTGATTCATTAGCACAACAATATACTGACCAGTATAACCAATTCCCAGAAAAATTAATTAAAAAATTCACTGACCTTATTTCTGAACAAATGCATTCATCATTTATTGAACTATTTGCAATGAATCATCCTCCATTATCACCTTCATTATTAGTTCGTTCAGGGTCATTGAAAGTATCATCTCTAATGATAGGTGCATCTAATATATTAAAGGTGTATTTTCCTGATAATACTAATCCATTTGATGATAACACTCCTAAGAGAGACTCTAGTAAGACATTTTATTTTGATAGTGATGAATCTAAAGATGATCTTATTGAATTAGAAAGAACTTCAATCATTGAAGCAATTGTTGTCAAAACAATGAAACAACTAAGAAACCATATTCCATTGTATACTGCCCCACCTCCAGATGGATTGACTCTCAAAGAATTCCAACAATATCATGTTGATTTAATGGTTTTCTCTAACACAATTAATGAAATAGTTAAAATAAAAAGTTCAAAAATTGAAAATTATATAAAACAAATCAATTTACGTCTTGAAAGTTGTTGTTCTGAAGGTGCTATTACAGCAACAAATGAAGTTTCATTAATTAAAGAAGCAATGTTAAAAATAAATAATTGATTTCTTCATAATAAAAAATAAATGTTTATTTAAAATAAGTATTACAACTTATTTTAGTTAATAAATTCTTTATTCATTTTCTTTTTTATTTCTTTCTTTAAAATATTCTTTCCTTTTTCTTAATTAATTACTTTATTATTCTTATTATATGAATTAATTAAATTTATTCTTCTAATTATATTACATTTTCCTTTAATTATGATTAAAATAAATTGGGCAAATCTATGTTCAGTTACTTTTTATTTATTATATTGTACTAATTATTTAACTATTAAATAAACTATATTCTTATAAGACTTATCTAAATTAGATACCTCAGACTCTAATGAAAAAAGAAAGAATCTTTATTCAATACACAAAAGTATTAATTTAGAAATTTAGTATAAAAGACTTATTTACTATTCAATATTTATTAATTGATTTATAGTCAATAACATTAAACTACTACACCAAATATAAAAATACTTCCTTTAAATATTTTTTGATGTCTAATAACCTGATGTATTATTTAAATAAATTACATAATTGATAATGTTATATTTTGAACGAAATTACTCTTCTTATATTTATGTTTACTCCACTCTGTGATAGAATGAATTTATTTCAGTATTTTATAATTATTTCTTGAATACTGAATAATATAATAGTATCTTTCTATTTAATCTCATACTTGTAATCATATACAAGCAATTACAGTTTATACTTTTATTTGATCTAATTCAAAACAATAAAAAAATATAATTAACTACACATTAATATAATATAAAATTATTAATATTAACAAGAAACTTCATTATTTTAATAACAATGATTAAACATATTACCGTATGGGATTGTGGTTATTTGATATTCTTTCAAATATAATGTATCAATTTATTTTTAAAATAATAAAAGTAAAAGGATATAAAAATATGAAACAATATTAATTTTAGAAGAATTGACCAATCAAAAACGATATTATATTCTTAAATAAATAACATATTTTTGAAGTAGTTTTAACAGTAAATGTGTTTTTTTTACAATCAAATAAATAAAAATTACAAAAATAATAAAAAAAAGTTTTAAACTATTACACAATGAGAAAGCTAATCATTGATACTGATTGTGGTGTTGACGACGCTACTGCTATTTTACTTACTATAATGTCAAAAAAAGTTGATTTAGTAGCAATCACTTGTGTTGTTGGAAACACCACTCTTGACCGTTTGTTTAATAAGATTTAAATAGAAAAATTAGTACTTAATAATAGATGTAATAAATAACGTTGGAAGAGTGCTTGAATGTTGTGGAAGAACAGACATTCCATTTTATGCAGGAGCAAAAGACAATTTACTTCATGTAGAAGTAGAAAGATTTGTTGGTCATGGTCAAGATGGTTTTGGAAATGCTGAAGTCCCAAACACAAAATTAAAGCCATCTAGTAACCGTCATGCAGCACTCGAAATTATTGACTTAGCAAAGAAATATGGTAAAGAATTAGATATAGTTACAATTGGTCCATTAACAAATATTGCTCTTGCTGTGTCAATTGAACCAAACTTGTTTAATATGATTGGTCATTTCCAAATGATGATTGGTTCAGAAACTTGTAGAGGAAATAGTTTACCTCTAGGAGAATTCAATTGTGCTTATGACCCAGAGTCAGCTAAAATTGTATTTGAAAGTGTAAAAGATGCTGTGATTTCATCTTGGGACCTTACTTTAAAACACTTAGTTGATTGGAAAGTATTTGATAAAATTAAGTCAACTAATAAGTGTGGTGAACTTATTGGAAAAGTTTATGCTCTTAATGAAAAAAATTTAAGAGAAATTGGATTTGCTGGACACAAGGAATACACTGGATGGGTTATTCCTGATCCTCTATGTTTGATGTGCTATTTATTCCCTGAAATTATAACCCATACTGATGTTGTTGAAACATCTATTTGTGTTGATGGACTTGGCCGTGGAGCAACAATCTGTGATTGGTTTTCAAGTTATCACTTAGGTAATCCTCAAAAATGGATTCGTTCAGTTGACCAAACTAAATTAGAAGAATTATTGGTTCAAATAGTAGAACAATATCAAGAAACTAATTGAGTTTTTTCTTTAGACATTTTGAAGTATTATTAAAATAATAATAACACAATAATTCGATAACACTGCTCAATTTATTTGTTAAGAACGATTCCTTCATAAGTTTCTTTAAACCAGTTAATAGCATCTTCTTTAGTTAAAAGATGGTCTCTTCCAATCTTGTCTTGCATTCTTTTTCTTCGTGAAACTCTAAATCCTGGTCTAGCAAGAACAACAAAGAAATCCATACCATAAATTCCAACTTGTGGATCATATTTTAATCCAAGGTCAATATGTTCTTCAATACCAAATCCAAAATTACCAGTAGCTGAGAAGTTGTTAGCTTTAAGTTCAAATTCCTTAACTTTCAATCCCTTTTCAAGAATTTCTGCAGCTTTAGCTCCTCTAACTGTGACGTGGCATGCAATTTGATCGTTTCTTCTAATAGAGAAAGCACGAACGGTATATCTAGCTTCTGAAAGAACTGGTGTTTGTCCAGTTAAAGTTTCAAGAACTTTAGCAGCACGAGTAAGTCTATCTCCAGACTCACCAACTGAAATGTTAAGGACAAGTTTATCAATCTTAATCTTTCTCATAACATCAGATTTGCAGGCTGACATGATTAAGACTATTTTATTTTTGGATTCTTTTCATAGTTCCATTTACCCTTTTTTTATTAGAAAAATAGTTTTTATAAACTATTAATATAAATCTCAATCTTCTCAAATTGAAATGATAATATCTTGTTACTTCAACTCTACTTAAACTAATACTTTGGTTGGACAATATAAATGGATAGTATTGTAAAGAAAGTAGTTTTCTGCCTCATTAGAAATAAAAGATTTATGAGAGTGAAAGAAATTTCTAAATTAATGAAAGTAGACAATAGACGAGTTTATGATGTTGTTAATTTACTCTCCATTTTCCCTAATGAAGAAGAGAGTTTTGTTATTAGAATGAATAAAGATAACATTTTTTATTTTAAATGGCGTTATTGTTTTATTGATGATATTAATATTAAAGACAGACTTCAAGAATTAGTGAAAAGAAATTGCTTATTGTTTAATAGGGTGAATGCACTTAAAGCAAATATTAATAAAAAGATTCCATTCAAAAAATTTGCATTAGAAGTTTTTAAGTCAGATGAAGAAATGCCAGAAGATATTCAACTGTTATTAATTCAACTTAATTCTAGTTATTTTTATTTTTCAAGAATTATAAACTCCAATTTATACTGTTTTTGTTGAAGAGAAACTAATATAAAAAGAGTGTCAGTTTCAACTAATTTATGAAATAATAAAAGAAAAGGAAAAAACTATTTAAAACTATTGAAGAAAGAAAAAACAAAAAAAAAGAATAAAAATAGCCCAACCCTGTTTGAACTCGAAAAATGACCTACCAGTTGTTCTCAAGTCCATGAAGGTATGTTATGTTTTTTTATAATAGAAAGAATTAAGAAAAAATAAATTAACCATTAGATTAACGTAGCCAATCCAGCCACTGGAAGAATTAAGAAATTTGATTTTGAAGAAGAAAAGAATTACAGACCATTCCTTGATAAGAGAATCGGACAAGAAGTTGATGCTTCATCACTTGGAGACGAATTCAAAGGATACATCCTTAAAATCACTGGTGGATGTGATAAGGATGGTTTCCCAATGATGACAGGAGTAGCTACTAACAATCGTGTCAGACTTCTTCTTGATGGAAGAAATGGATGTTACAAACCACTTAGAAATGGAGAAAGAAGAAGAAAGACAGTTAGAGGAGCTATTGTTGCAGGAGACATTTCAGTATTGAACACTGTCGTAGTTAAGAAAGGAGAAGGAGAAATTGAAGGAGTTACTAATGATGCACTTCCAATGAGAGCTGGACCAAAGAGAGCATCTCATATCAGAAAACTCTTCAATCTTTCTCAAAAGGATGATGTTAAAAAATTCGTTATTAGAAGAGAAGTTGCTAAAAAACATCCAAAAGAAGGAAAATCAACAAAGAGATCTAAAGCACCAAAGATTCAAAGACTTGTTACTCCAAGAAGACTTCAACATAAGGCTCAAAAATTAGAAGCTAAGAAATTACATAAAATTGCTATGCTCAAGGAAGCTAAACGTTATGCTGCTATTCTTAATAGATACAAGGTTCTTAAAGCACATGGAATGAAAGTTGTCTCATTTGCTGATACTGATGCTGTTTTCAAACAAAACAAAGCTGGTTCAAAGAAAGCTGCTTCTAAGGGAAAGAAGGTTAATTCCAAGAAAACTGGAAAGAAATAAGAAGTTTATTGATGAGATTTGAGTAAATCTATATTTTCGTTTTAATATTCCTTTTTTGTTATTCTTGAAATAAAAATAGTTATAGATATTTTCAATAGTTTGATAAATTGTTTGTTTTTGTTATTCATATTCTTTCTGTAGTAATAAACATAGAATTAACTTTGTTAACTTGTAAAACCAACTTGTAGTTTTATAGATATATGTAATTTTCTTTATTTTACTTAAAGAGTATTAGTTCAATGGAGATGATAATTAATTAACTCTTGTAAAGAATAATTGGTATTGAGTTACAATAGCTAACGCTTGTTCTCTGAGTTGAATAGAAAGTTTGTTATGTATTAATGAATTGACATATTTGAATATAATACTCAATAGTTTTTGTTGATAATTTAGCATGAAAGTAACATAAAACACGAAAGACAATGAAATTTGAATCATGTTGATATCAGATGCATAGAAACATTCATAACTAATAAGTGTTGATGATTAAAAAAAAGTGGAATGAAGTAGATGTTCAAATTGAATATTAATTTTTGGAGTGTCTAAAACTAATTTTTATTTAGATTAATGACACAAATAAATTAAATAGAATAATAATTTAATAACCAACAAAGATTTTAGTATTAATTAATTGAAGTGTTTACTTGTATTAATGTTTACTTGAACAATTTATTTATTAAACAGAATATATCAAATAAAATGATAAGAAGTGTTTGATTGAAATTAATCACATAATATCAATATTTTGTTGTTACATTACTACTAATTATACTGAGTTATTTACAAGTAATGAGTTAATATTATAAACTGAATTAGAAGTATTTGAATTTAGTTTGGTTGAAACGAACAATTGTTTAGACAGAATGTTTATAAATAAATATTTAAAAGATTTTTATAACAATGAAGTTAATAGATTAATAGATTCATTACAGCAAACAGAATAAATGAAAAGTAATAGTAATTTTAAAAGAAAATTTAAGAAGAAGAGAAGGTAGATTAAATACATTAAATTGTCAATTTAGTTATAATATAAAAGAATAGAAAAATGTTAAAGAAACTAATCAAATGTATGATGTTTTTTTTTGTAGCAAAATAAATTTATCAATTAAAAGACAAAAAGAAAGTATTATTAATCTTCTGATATTAGTTCAAAAGTCTGATTTTGTTTTGCCCACCGTTGAAATAATCCTTCATTTAATTTTGTATATTCACTTATTTCTTTGTTATGAATAACTACAGGTGTTTCTTCTTCATTTCCAATAAGAATTAAAGTTTTTGTTCCATTTAATCCAATTTTCAATATGAGTAATCCTAATTCTAATTCTAACATTTGGCTTGCTTCATCAACAATTACATAGTCAAAATGTTGTTTTAGTTCATCAAAGTTCATTGTGACATAAGTTGAAGTAACACCAATGATTTGACAATAACTTAATTCAATATATTTTTCTTTTTGTTTTTGTGCTCTTAAAATTTCAAGTGGAATAAGCATTTTAATCTTGTTTTCATATTCGTCTATTTGAGCTTCACTTAATCCAGACTCTTTGTGTTTCTTTACCATTTGAATAAATTGTAATCCCATTTCACAACTTTGAACATTTTGAACAGGAATATTACATAAAATAGCAATCTTTTGTAATTCTTCTAAGATTCTCATTCTTTCTAATAATGCTTTTTCTACTCTTCCTTTCTTACTAAAGTCAATTTGTGTCATTTCTTTTAATTCTTTCTTTCCATGTCCTAGTCTCAATATGATACCATCTTTAACTCCTGATTCAATTATCCCTTTAATAATAGTATTGATTGTTTGATTTGAATGACTCACAATTAATACTTTCTTTTTAGTTTGTACTAATTTTTCTACAATTTTCATTGCAATATATGTTTTCCTAGTACCTTTCTTTCCTTTTATTAAATGAATTCCTTCATTTAAAACTGAACAAATAACTTCTTCATGTTTGTCTTGTTTTAATTTAATTTTATCTTCTTTCTTTATCAATTCTTTATGACAAATTCCTAATAATTCATTTTTTACTTCTTCATTAATTCCTTCAAACTTTTTTTGTTGAATAATTTGATGAACATTTTCAAGAACTCTTTTAAATGTTCCAACGTCTTTATTTCTCCAAATCATAACATGGAATGTATGTTTATTTTCTTGTTTGTCTTCTTGATACTTCTTTCTTTCCATTTGAATTTCTATTCGTCTAAATGTTCCTTGAAAACCTTTTGTTTTATTGTCTTTGTCTTTAATTTCTAAAATTTCTCCACCTCTAATTCTTTTGACTTGTCCATCATTATCTAATTCAACTAGAAAAATTATTTCCTTTTTAAATGGTGACCATTGAATTGTTTCATCACTTGCATCATTCAAATTAATTTCAAATGAACATTTAATTTCTTTATTATTACCAATAATAGTTTCTTCATCAACTTCAATTCCATGAAACTCAATTAATGGAAGAGTGTGTTTTCCATATTTCTTAATTCTAATTCCGTTTTTAGTTGTACTTAATCCAAGTTCATTTATTTCTGTCATAATATCATCACTTGCACTATCAAATGTTTCTTTTCTAAACAAAATACTATTTCTTAATAAATAATCAAATTCATCTAAATAGCTTGGTGTTAAGATAGGTAAACTTTCTTGTGGATATTCTTCTTTTTGAAACCATTCTTCATCTGGATAGAGACTTTCATCATTTGAAACTAAAATATTAACTTTCATTTCATTTATAAAATACTCTTCAAATATTTTTATCATTAATTCATTGTTCATATCTTCTTGTTCATCAATCAATTTTAATAGTACTAAAATGTCTTTTATAATATCTATATGTTTTTCTATTTCTTTTAATTTATTTCTAAATTCTTTCAATGGTAATTTTGAATATGATTTAAGTGAAGTATTAAATAACTTGACTTGTAGAAACCGTAGTCTTTTATAATAAATTTCTTGAAGATCATTACGTTCTATAGTTATAAATGATGGTGTAATTGGATATCTTTTGAAGTGATATGCATTTGATAATAATAATAAATTAATGTCATTTGGATGTGATTCAAGATAAATATTAATTCGTTCCAATAAATGTGTATTTCTTAATAATTCTTTTGTTTTATGATGAGTATCTCGTTGACATAATTCAATTGTAATAAGTGGTAAATTCTTTTGAATTTCATTCTGTACTTTTTCAGTGTCAGTTATTGTTGTGATGAAGTTCATTAAATTTTTAATTAATTGACTTGCCATCTTCAATGAGAGTATGTATTGAAAATAAAGATTTCAAACCATATTTTGTACAAATTTCTTATTGTCTTTATTCCTTTAAAAAAGTCATCTAGAAATATTAAATAAATGATATTCATACTGATTGTATTTGTTAGTTATACACTTGCATATCCACCTCCTGTATTAGTAAAAGATCCTATTCAAATTACTTCCAACTTAACAAAAGAATTTATTATCCAAAACCATATGAAATATAGTAATCACCCTAAATACCATCATATACCAATGATTGCTCATGTAACTCGTTATCATGAAAGAAATCCAATTACATTACCAATATTTGCACATTTATTTGATGGGATTGCATTTGATCATATTATGATTAAAACAATTAATAATATCATCAGTGTAGTAGATCAAAACCCATACAAAAACATTACTATCCAATCAAAGAAGATTGCGATTCTTAAAACAGAAATGGATTCTGTAGTATTTTCCATGGAATTATATCATAAAATTCAAGAACAAATAACAGGATATGATGGTATTTTATTTGACTCATCCATCCCAAAGGAACTTACAAAACAAATAATCAATTATCTTCCACAAACATTTTTAAAATACAAAGTCATTCCATTAGGAGAAGATGTTATTCCATATCAAAGTCTTTGTGATGCAGTATTTATTGATACCCAATATTTTGATCCATCATCTGTGGTATATCAACCATTACAACCAATGCCTTGGATAGAAGAGCAAATTTCAAAGCATTTTGGAGGAAATAAAAAAAATGGTGGGTTTATTGTTGATTTTGAAGGGAAAATGTATTGTAAACATAGTACAACTCATCTGCAAAACTTACCGTATTTAAGATTTATTAAAAAATTAAATGTTACTATCACGTATCATCCTGCATCCCATGAACATTCAATTGAAGCCCCATTTCTAAGTGATCGATATATGGATGATTATTGTTATTCTAATTATCCTACACCATACTCTCTTCAACAAAAATTAACTTTAGCTGATAAATACAATATGTCTGTCTTATTCCATGACTTTGGAGGAGCATTAGATTATTTCTTTGATGTTCTTTAATTATTTCAACCTAATTTGAATCATACAAATTAAAACATCCTTCATTTCTATCTAAGAATTTAGAATAATTCAATGTTCTTTAAAACAAACATCCTTTTCATTTTTAATAATCAACAACATGAATTTCATGCTAACATAATAAAGAAAAACTATCACAACAATAGTGAAGAATTAATAAAGGTATTATCAAAAAATAATATGTTTCAATCTCATAGAATGAGAAAATAAAAGAATTAGACTTTCGTTGAAGATAGTTATTGTAAAATAGTCTTATTAATAAATAACAATTTAAAACAATTTAATGAAATGAATAAATAAATTCAATGACTTAATTATAATAACCATTTAGCTATTGTCTTGTTATAGTATTTTTCACTAACCACTTTAGAAGAGATAAAATCATAAACCTCTCCACTAATTCATATAAAATGAGATTGGTTATACATTTCTTGTCAAAAACTTGGTTAAATTCATCAGTGTCATTTACTTCAACAAACAAACAGAATGTTCTTATTAACTTTTATTTCAAGAGAACAACTGAAATCAGTTTATAGAGACAAACAAGAGACGAAATTAAAGATGAAATAGAAAAGTTTAGATTTAAGTGAAGAGTGAAAGGTAAGATAACGTCATAATAAATAAGATCAGTAGAATACACTATTCTTTAAAGAGAGAAAGAAAAAAAAGGAAGAGAATAAGAAAGGATTAATGAATAAAAATACAATGAACTAAAATTCAGTAAAGAAACAGAAAATGAATAAAGAACAACAAGAACAACTTGACGTTTTAGAAAAGAAGATACAAATTGCAAAAGAAGAAAATGAGGAATTGAAAAGACTAATTGAATATGAAAAGAAGAAACAGAAGACATTTGAAGAGCGTATTAAAGAGAACAAGATCAAACACAGTAAAAACCCACCAAAAAAGGAAGAAATCAATCAAGAATAAAGAATGAAATAAGAAATGAAGAAATTAATTTTAAAAGGGGGGAAGTTTAGAAGAAAGTTTTAAGAAAAAGTTAATTTAAATTTTTCTAAAAATTAAAAACAGGATAAAGTTCTACAAAGTTCTTCGCGTAGAAAAAATAGCACAGGATGTTGTGGGTGCTTCTATCGGCATCGCCTAACAGAATAGATAATTCTTCCTAAATAATCAGAAGCCTCTGGAATAATGAGAAAAATAAGGAATAAAATATACTAAAATTTAACAAAAGCAATGAATGTGATACGACAAAATGAACAAAATGATAATACACCTACTACATTTATAGTTAAATTATTTGAACTTGTCAATGATGAAAAATCTAAAGACTTAGTTTGTCTGTTTTTTCTTTATTAATAAAAGACAACAAACAATAAGAAATAATTTAATTAATTCATCAGATTTGTTGGAGTAGAGAACAAAATAGACCTGGATTTGTTGTCTTAGAGTCAGTTCAATTAGCATCAACTGTTATTCCCAGGTTTTTTAAACATTCGAATTTTAGTAGTTTTGTACGACAATTAAATATTTACGGATTTCATAAAGTAGACCATCCTCTTGGACAATGTTTTCATCATCCATTTTTTAAAGAAGGACATCCTGAATTATTATGTAAAATTCGTCGTCAACAACCTAAACGTGCAGAAGCAGAAAATGCAGAAATGTATCGTAGTTTATTACAAAGATTAGAAGATTTACAAAAAGAGAGTGTATCAACAACAAATCAATTACAACAACTTAATAATATGTTATTTTCATTAAAATTAAGAATTGATGAGATGGAAGAACAAATGCAAGGAATGACAGAATGTCTTTATTTTATTAACCAAGATGAAAATAGGTATGGACAACAACAAAAAAGAAATCCACCTTCAACTGGTATAACATGGAATTAATAAACTTAAAAATCCTTTTTGAATTGTAATTCATTTTTCATTATTTTTTTATTGCTTCTTTTTTACTATTAAAAAACCTGAAAAACTAAATAATAAATTTCTTTATTAATCTACTGAAATATAACAGACTATGTATTTAATCTTTATCTTTTTTTTTTGAATTGTTTTTAATAATACAAACTATTGTTTCCTCTAATAAAACATTCTGGATATTCATTGTCTTTATTTCCATTAATATATTCTATTGCATTTTCAAGAACAATATTCATTAACCCATCAATTAATGTCATTTTCCCTTTGAATATTGTTCCATCATTTAATTTAATTGAACATTCATGAAATAATGCTTCTTTAAAAAATTGAATAGGAGGTGATGTAGTAGAATTACTCATTTAATAGATATTAAATTCTCAATTCTTTTTTAGTTTTTTTAATATTTTAATAAATAATTAAGTAAAAATTATTATCATATAATCTAATTATCATAACATCTTATTTGTTATTATTTTATATACCTTATATGATTATTTTCTGTTTGAGAACTCGGTTATTATTAATTCATATAAATTAATAACCGTAGAGTCTCATGTTATTTTTCTTTTCTTCTTTTTTATTTTGCAACATTCTTTTTTTTATTTTTATTATTATGGTTTTTTTTTTATTTTCTATTAAAAATATATGAACTAAAAAGATATTTCATTATGACTCTGGAACAAAATCTTATCCCACTAACTTGGGATGATGTTATTAATGATTGGAATATTGATGACAGTCATGTCTATTTCAATTTTGATGATAAATATGTTTGTTATTTATTGTTTTATTTAATCCATATTTATGATATTAGAATTATTTGACATACTTTCCTTTGTACGTTAAATTTGCCACTACATCAGTACAACACAGACACACCCTTTTTCAACTATTTGATTCATTAAAATATCTGTGTAAAACAGACAAAGAATTTAATCTTTTATTTTGGAAATATTTAATGAAAACAAAACCATTACCTTCAAGAGAAGTAGTTCCAATTACCCTTCCACAACCTGATAGTGAAAAATGTTTCTTTAATTTAGAATTAAAGTTTCAACAAAATAAAATTATGATTGAATTCCATTCAGAATTAGCTTTGTTTAGAGACAGAGAAATACCTAGTAATACAACTAATAGACATAACTCAATACAATCATTATTTAATGATAAAATTAGTGCATTAGTATTACCATTAGCAAGATATGATCATAATTCTATTCAACAACAAATTACTAGTGTTGCAAAATATGATGTATTATTTGGAAGTTATAACCAACAATTATTAGAAATTAATAAAAAACACCCAACCATGGAATATGGTGATTTCTTTATTACCATGCATAGTAATTTATTTTATCATATGATTCTTCATTGTAAATTTCAACAACCTTTTATTTTAGATAATCCATCAAAGAATCAAAGATTTTATTCTAACCTTATATTTTATTTACATCGTTGTAAAACTAATGAATTATATTTTTGTATGCATGAATTAGATACTTCTGAATTACCTAAACGGGTTATTTCAGTATTTTCTGCTGTACGTCAAGCAATTTTATATGATGGTTATACCTCCCTTAGAAAAATTGTATTTATTTGTCCTGACACAGACCTTAATCTATTACAATTAAAAACAAATTTTGATGAATCATTTCTTAATTAAATAACTCTTTTATTTTTTACATCTTACTTAATAGTTTTGATAATTGTTTCTTTTTCTTAATATCCTTCTCAGACTTTTTTGGTTTATTTTCTTCTCTTTTCTTTGTAATAATTTGACTTTGAATTTTGTTTGTTTTTCTTTGTTCTACAACTACATTTTCTAATATCACTTTTGCCGTTTTCTTTGTTTCTTCTGTTTCTTCTCCAATAAATTTTGGTAATTCTTTTAATTCTTTAATTTCTTCATCTGAATATTTCCAAATAAGATTCTGAAATCCTCTGTAAATCCCATTTAAATCACTTAGTCGTGTTTGTAAAATAGTGTCTAATCTAACAACAATCGTTTCAAACACTATTTTATTTATTATATCATGTCCTCTATCCATTGACATTTCTATTATTTTAACTACTTTTTTAATTTTCTCTCTTTCATTATTAATCGTTAATATTTCTCCTATAACCATATTAATAACTTTTATTAAGTCTTCTTTGGTATATGACATTTCAATCCATTCTATTAATTTATTGTGAATTTCTATTACTTCATTTTGTACTCTATTAATGTTTCTTAATAACCCAAAATGTTTATTCATCCTTAATCCATTTTTCATTCTATATAATAATGTATGTAATATTCCATTTTCTGTATCTAGTCCTTCTATTACTCTTTCATTCTTTGCTTTTTGTTTAATAAATTTAAATTCTGTTACTTCAAAACAATATTTCCCTTCTTTGTCTTGTTTACTAACTTCTTTAATAAATTTCTTAAATTTCTCTCGTTCTTCAGAGAACATAAATACTTTCTCTTTGGTCAATTCCATTGTTTACTTTTTATTAAGTTTTCTTTTTAACCTATTCCTTTTTCTCTCTCAAAATTTTTCTTAAACCCAAATCACTTCTATTCAATTTATTTGTTATTATTAATACCCACAGTAATTCTCAATACATCCAAAGATACATCTTAAATAACATACTGTACATCTACTTGGCTCATATTTTTCTTCTTCTTTCTCTTCTTTTTCTTGTCCTTCTTCTTGCTCTTTTAAAATCTCTTCACTCTCTCTTTCACTACTCATTGGAATCCTTTCTTCTTCTTCTTCTTCATCTTTTAAATATCCAATAAATTCTTCAACACTCAATTCTTTTTCTGCTCCTTTCATCTCTATACTTTGAACTGGTCTTCCATTAATCTTTTTCCCTACTATTTTATCCATTGCCTGACAAATAATGTCTTTTGATACTTTTTCTTCATTTTTCTTGTTAACCAATTTAAAAACAAGTCTTCCAAATATCTTTTTGTATTCTTCATCTATTATCTCTTTATTTTTTATTTCTTCTCCAATATTCTTGTAATATTCTTCTATTAATTTACCACTTCGAATAAAGTCTTCTCGTTCAAGTTCTCCTTGATTCTCAATATCCGCAATTTCAATGAAATAAATACTGTCTGCTTCATTAATTCCTCCTGCTTCAAGACATTCAACACACTCTTTATAGCCTAATTTATTTCTACCTTCTTCTTTGATTGAATCAAAGTGTTGAATACTTTTCTCTATTCCTTTTATTTCTTCTTGATTTCCTGTAGGTGTACAACACTTTATTAATGCCTCTTCTTCTTCATTTGCAAGTTCTTTAAATTTAAGTAAATCAATCCTTTCTTCGTTCTCTGCTTTTTGTCCTATTCTTTGTAGTATTTCTTTGAGACTTTTAGCATTTTCTGCTGCTCTTTTACATCTCTCAACAACTATATGTCCATCAATAGGTCCATCACTTCCTCCACTAATTGCTTTGAACATAAAAACATTTCTAATTTCTGTACGTTGTTTATCCGTTGTTACTGAACTTACTTCTTTATTAAATCTCCTGATTAAGTTAAGTGTCTCTACAAATGTTTGTTGATTAAATCTATCAGATGAAGAAGACAACCCAACTAATCCAGGAACTTCATCACAATATTTGTCTTCATCTTTTATAACTGAAATAACTCCGTTGAAACTAATAAAATCATTCCCTTCAGACACGTTTTTGAATATTTGTTTAGGATCCATTTCTGATTATAACAAAAGCCAATTTAATGAGATAATTGTCCTATCAAGGGTTTTTCTCTTTTACTTCTTCTCTTTTTTGTTATTCCATTATTTGTGTTTTTAAAATGGAAGAAAAGTTTTTGAAGTTTGTGTTTTAGTCATATTTCGTTCTAAAACTGGTGTTAAGTGATCTTCTTCTTGTTATTATTTAAGTTTGGTTTTCCTGTCATAAAAGTTTGTTACATACTATCCTACATATTAATACAAACTATAACAAAAAACAAAACATTTGTACTGTTCAAAAACAACCTTTATATTGTCTCTACTCTCAATAAACTTGTTAAAGATATTAACGAAGAAATGTTATGTTATTCTCTTATTGTAAGAATCATGTAAAATATGTTAACTAACACAGATAATATAATTATCTTACTCAGTACCATAAGTACTTAGAAGGAAATACAACCCATCATGCTTAGCTTATTGAACATTCATCCTTCCCGATAATTATATTAAAAAGTCTTAACCAAACACATATATTCTTTATGATGTTTTATCTTTATTGAAATAAATACCAAATTCTCAACAACCAGCAAAAATATTTTCTACCCTAGTTTGTTACATTTTATATTCTTCTCTATTTGTGTTATCATCCATCTTTATATCATGAGGTAGTATTTTAAAGTTTCTATAATTTTTATTTCTTTTTCCTATTTTTAAGTTTTTAAATTAACATACAAGTTATTTTCTTTTGCAACGTCTCAGAGGAATGTTTTGTTTAAAAATAAATACAATTAAAATTTTATTAGCGATGAATAAAAATTAATGTTCAATTTGTTGGGTAAAATACTCTCCTTTTTAAACAAATTCTATCGTAAACGATTAGTTTTTAAGAATAAGTATCAACAAAATAGATAGGATTTACCAAAGTATATAGAAATTAAATTATATTAACTTTGAGTTATTATTCAGACTATTATTTCAAGTTATGATGCAAGAATATGACACTAAAATCAGGAAGACGATCCATATAAGAGTTATTCATACATCTTTGGATTTATTATATATTTGACACTATAACAAAATACTTATCAATTAAAGCTCATACAGTTAAAGATATAATAACTTCATGACTGTAATAAAGTAGTTGTTTAGTAAAGTTTATGATAGTATTAATAATCTGACATTAAAAAAAGTTAATAATTGGCATACCATTAACATCAAGAAAAAAGTAAATTATAAGTAAGTTATTTTTTAAACATAAACATAACAAACTTCAAAATTAAAAATAGCTAAATTCTAAAAAATTGAAGGGTAATATTCTAAAGGAAAGAATATAATAAAACATAAATACAATAAGAATATACAATCATTCTATTTATCTAATGGACTATAACTTCATAAGTATTCATGACAAAGAGACTTTGGTGATAATATTGTAAATTCATAAAAAAATACTTCTTTATAACAACAATTATTTAATCTTCATGAAGGTTATAAATAATTAACAATGTACCAATTATTTTTTTAGAATGTAAATAATTTATTTGTCATAGGTACTTTGTTTTACTCAAAAACTAAAATTTGTAAGATTAACTCAGCTATTATTAAGTATGAAAATAGATACATGAGATTCTGTTAATTGAAAAATTTAACTATTCTATAAAAACACGATAATATAATCAAATTTATAGAAAAATATGTTTGTTTGTAAAGCACATATATCATTAATGCCTATACAAATCAAATGACATTAATAAATTATAACTAGTATCATTCTTCAAATTATATGCATATGATAATTAAAAAACAAATTAACAATTGTATCGCTTTATACAATAAAAGATGAAAATGTTTAAAAGAGTATTTTTTTTTCTTTTATTATTGAAATTATCTTCATAATAACAAATCGCATCTTTAATAAAACCATTTCTTTTAAACAAAAATAATAAATTTATTTATTCTTAAATTTTATATATAATTAAATCAATTGTGTGTTTTGTTTATATTTTCTTTCAATAGTTACATAAAAGTGAAATGCCAAATGTTGAATCAAAATTGCGATAAAATAAAAGTTTGTTGAAAAACATTTGTAACATTCAAAAATGTTATAATAATCACAAAATAAATAAAACAATATACTAAAGTATGTCCATGTATTTTAGAAGCTATGATGAAAATTATTAGCTCTTTAGATGTTCTCTCTTTTATCCATAAGAATATCTTTTAATCTGTAAAAATAAAATTATAAATAATGTCATAATTCAAAGAAAGATTAAATAATAGTTTAATACCTTTTATCTCTTCTCAATAATTCTTATATTAATAAATAATTAAAATGAATACATTATTGGCATTGAAGTGACCTGCTCTTAGATTGTTTCTTTTCATATTTAGGTGTTGTTCCAGATATGTCAGTATTTCTTTTATTTATAAGAATATACCTTTTATTGTCTCTGTCCTCTTCTTGAGGAAGCAATTCAGTTTCAATAACACTTATGAAATCTTCTTCTGGTTGTTTTACAAAACAAGCTTGTTCCTCAGTCGACTCGACTACTATTTGAGTGTTCTTTAGTTCTTTTTCATCTTTCCTTGTGACTATAGGTTTGTTGATAAGCTCTTCTTTCATCAACATTTCTGCTGCTTTCAGTCTATGCTCACGAATTCGAGAGGATCTTCTTTTTGTTCTTGGTAATTGGTTAAACTCTTCCGCTTCTATTTCAATTTTGCACTTGGTGCAATATATGTTATCTCGAAGATAGTCTCTCGTGGTGAGAAAATCTTTGCATCTAGCACACCGCTGTCCAAACGGAGAGATATCAGACATTTTATCGAAAAAGAAAGAACTTAGAATTGTTCTTTATAAAAAAAACACATTTTATTTTTCTTTTTTTTTTGTTATTTAAAAACCCTTTTTTTAAGAGAAAGATAGAAGAATTGAAAAGAAGGAATGAACACAACAACACAATATCCTTGTTATATTCTCTGCAAAGAGGGACTTACTTTTTTTGAAGACATTCCAAAGACGTCAGTATTTAACATTGAATTTGCAAAAGCAAAACTTGCAGGTTATGCTCCCAACAAAGTTATAATTATTGATGACAAAGGAATTATTATACTTAACCAAACAACAAAAGAAGTTATTAAAAGGATTGAAATGCTTCATATTGATAGGTTTAGTGTTTCTCCTAGTGGGAGATATATCACCGTATGGCAACTCATTCCATTGCAATACACTCAAGGGGTAAATGGATCAGGACCCGTTAAAGTAAAACAAGACCAAACAAATACATTAAGTGTATTTGACATTGAAAAAGAAACAAACGAACCAATTTTTTCATTATTACAAAAACAAATTCATGTCTGGCCAATTATTCAATTCAATATCACTGAAACTGTTGCAATTCATCTTGGTAGTACTGTAACATTCTATAATGTTTCAGGGTCTTCATTTGTTCGTGCAGAAAAACAATTTAATAATACATTAGTAAGAAATTTTGCATGGTCTACTAATCCAGAAACACCAGATACATTTGCTTTGTTTGTTCCAGAGAATTCTAAAAAAAATGTCCCTGCTACATTTAGAGTTGGTCATTTTCCTGACATTGTTCGTGTTATTTCATCTTCAACATTCTTTAAAGCAGGTTCTTCTGAATTAATATGGTCTCCTCGTGCTAATATTGTATTATGTAAGGCACAAACCAATATTGATTCTACAGGCCAAAGTTATTATGGTGAAAGCTTCCTTCATATAGTTAATGTAGTTGATTCATCTAAAAACATGAGTCTGCCACAACCAGATGGTCCAGTGTATGATGTGTCATTTAATAACGATGGAAGTTTGTTAGCTTCAGTTGCAGGATATATGCCTGCTACTGTAGAAATATTTAAAGTTACTCGACTTGGTAAATTAGAGTCAATTAAAAAATTTCCTAAACAAAGTAGAAACGAAGTTAAGTTTTCACCAAATAGTCAATTTCTTGCTGTTGCTGGATTTGGTAACTGTCCTGGTGAGGTAGATGTCTATGAAACTACAAAATGGAATTTAGTTGCTGAGTTTTCTGCTCATTGTACTACAGAGTGGTATTGGACGCATGACTCAAAGGCATTAGTTTTCTGTGGATGTTTCCCAAGAAGACATTTTGATAATTTTATTAAGGTTTGTCCTATTAACGCACCAGAATTACCTTCAGTTGATTTTGGTGATAAGTTATATCATCTTAATTTAAAACCTCAAAACCCCATTAAAGATGAAGTTCAATTTACTGTCATTCAAAAGAAAAAAGAAGAAGAAACAGCTGCATATGTACCACCCTCTCTTAGAGGAAAACCTTCATGTGTTGAAGATGACAATGATCCTATACCAGGTCAACATGTCAAGAAATTTACAAGAAAACCAAAAAAGAAAGCAACTAAGGAACAAAAGAAGTAATAAAATAAGAAAAGGTTTAATTTAATATCAATATTTAAAAAATAATTTTATGTTTAATTAAAATAAAGAAAAAAAAAATAATAAAGTTATTAATTAAAAAATAGTTTTTTTAATATATTTTAATGATGTATGATTTTCTTAAAGTGGAATTTTACTCATTTCACGAAGAGCATCAACAGCAGTTAAGACTGTTGGGTCTAAACTACTTTCAACGTCAGAAGCAAAAGTATTTAATCTTCTATTAGCAATTGCCATACACATTGCTCCAAATCTAACCCATTTTAATCCACTTGAGATTAAACTAAGAATAGAAATCTCCATTTCTAAATTTTCTGGTTGAACTCCATCAAAATCAAAGCAAAGTAATTTATCAATAGACTCTACAGTCTCTGGTAATTCTTCAAATAATAATCTACCTTGACAATTAAAGAACCCTGGAACAGTTGTTGTAATACCAAGTTTATGAAGAAGTTTATTTTTTTCTGAAGCACGAACAAGAGCATCAACCATACGTGGGTCTGGTTGAGAGGCATAAGCATGAATACCACCTTTATAACGGCAAGTATTTGCAGCACCTTTATTAAATAAATCATCAACAATATTTTCTAATTTAACAATTTGAGGAGATTGTGGTGGAATGTCATAAAAGAGACCAGTATTATCAAGACCAATAGAGTATTTAGTAATAATGGTAGTTCCTAATTTAGTTGAAGATTGTAAAGCACCAGAAGTTCCAATACGAATAATATTAACAGGTTCTTTAACTTCAATTGGTGTACGAGAATTAATATCAATTGCTTTTAAAGCAAGAACTTCATTTAAAACAATTTCTGCACTACCAGTTCCCATACCATGAGTAATTACAGACAATCTCATTCCATCTCCAATAGTATAACCAGTCATTACACACAATCCTCGATGGTCTTTACGGAAAATATCTTTTGATTTATCAAACACAAGTTCAGCAATTTTTGGAACACGTTCTGGGTCTCCAACCATAATAATATTATTTGCAACATCGTTTGCAGTCACTTGTAAATGGTAAATTACTCCATTCTTAGCAGGAAGGGTAGCTTCATTAATATTTGCGCACATACTTTTATAGAATTCAAAGTTATCCTAACGGCAATCTTTAAATACTATATAATGCAATGTAGAACTTTTAGAAGTATTAACTAATTGTTTTTGTTAATGCTTTATAATAAACAGAATGTCTCAGAGCTGTGCAGAACAATAAAAGTTTCTTCCACACTATTTCCTTTTCTTTCTGTTTTAGATAGAATTTTATAGAAGAATTAATTCTATTTTAATAACAATTCTCTTGCTATTTTTTGTTTTTGTTAGTTATGAGTAATAAAAACAAAAAAGTTTAACTCAACTTGTTTCTTAAAGAAGTAATATCAAAATAAAAAATGTTATTCAAAAAGTAATAATTTGTTATAACTTATTAATTTGTGTTTTTAATTTTTTCAAAAAAAAAACAGTTAGGGTAAAACTAATAATTTACTTGGATAGTCAATATGTCTAAAGTTATCGTTATTGATTGCCATGGACATGTTCTTGGTCGTGTAGCTTCAGTTGTTGCAAAGAATCTTCTTCTTGGAAAAAAATTTGTTCTTGTTAGATGTGAAGATCTCCAAGTATGTGGAACACTCAAAATGAGATTAGTTCAATGGGAACTTTATCAAAGAAAAAGAGTTAATACTAACCCAACTCGTGGTGCTTTCCATCATCGTTCACCAGCAGATATGGTTCGTAAAGCTATTAGAGGAATGCTTCCAAAGAATAATTATAGAGGAAAGCTTGCACTTAAGAATTTGAAATGTTTTGAAGGATGTCCAGCACCATATGACAAAATGAAGAAATCATCAATTCCAGCTGCAGCAGCAATTTATTCATTCAACCCAACAAGAAAGAGAACTCTTCTTGGAGAACTTGGAACTGCAGTAGGATGGAAAATATGCTGATGTTGTTGCTAAAAATGAAACCGAAAGAAAAGAAAAAGCTGCTAAATGGTATGCTGCTAAACAAATGAAACAAAAGGCTATTGCAGAAGCTAAAGAAAAGATTCTTGCAGATGAAAAGTATAAGGCTAAAGTAGCTATCCTTAAGAA